TACATACATACATACATACGTTCATAATGGATAGATAAAGCTGGATGGACAGACGGATAGATGGGCAGATGAGCAGATAGATCGATCAATAGATCGATAGAAAAAACAGATATGTGGGTAGCCAGACGCATGGATAGACAAATACGTGGATAGAATCTCGAGACGCCAGACCACGGTATCTTGGACAAACGCCGTTCAAAAGCCTGGCATGGACAGTACTGAGGTCTGAGCAACCTGAAATAATGTCCCCTGATGTCCCCTTCATTCTAGTCCCTTCTACGGTAAACCACCCAGGCACAACGCTATCGATACTATACATGTCCGGACAGCAAACACAACAAAAAACATCTAGGGAAGCCTACAAAACCCGTCTTAACCAACATCTTGAAACCCTGTACTAATTGTACAGTTACTGTAGCTGTATCCCCATAAAACAACACCTATACAGCAACTATATTCGTCGGGTTGAGCTTGCCTGAGGACCGGTCGAAGCCGGTTTTCAGGTTTAGAGTTTCGCGTGAGGATCAGGCTGTGCAATTAAAGCTCGCTCGCTCATTAATCAAGCTAGGCACTGTGCTGAAAGGCACAAGTGGCGGGGCCTGAATCGTATGTCTGAGGGTTTGCTGGCTAATTAAATCCCCTACTGTACTAGCTCTTAGATATTAGAGCAGACTAACTATGCCAACCCAGATTTGAACGATGGCTTAACTGCATGTTCGACACTCAGGTTTAGACTAGACTAGACCTGCCTTTTTTACATGGAAGCGTTCCACTGCGAAGCTGTATGCGCTCAACAAAATATGAGCTACTTTACACTGCAATTAATATAAGAAAATCTCAGCGCAGACACTCCGCACCCCCAAAAGAAACAGCATGGATAGCCAAGCACACACATCCACAACACCCCCACCCCCTATCCATAGGCTCCTTAGTAGTTCATTTTTTGGTATTACCTTCTACGTATAAACCACCAAAAGGAACTACTTAGGAGCCTATGGGTAGACCGAACCCTATATGAGCTTATACCGGACTTTCCGAAAATTAGGGTACCTTATTTGGGGTCCTTATAATAAGGATCCTACTATTTAGAGTACTACATTAGGGTCCCCTATTTTCGGAAGCCCCCAATACAAAGTCAGCTCGCGCCTTGTGCCAGACTAAACCCTCGAACTTGCTCACACCGGACTGAGGGCTCGTCTCCTGAGCTGCGAGTCAGACCGATCGCGTGTACCCCTAGGCCCCATGGTAACTTAGTAGTTCCTTTTAATTCGGGGGTTTATTATTTAGGATTCTAGAAGGGAATCCCCCAAAAGGAACTACTGTGGAGCCTATGGGCAGGGTTTGACTTGGGTTTTTGGGTCTAGGAGTCCAGGAGTCTATAGTCTAAAGGGCTTTGACTTACAGGATTTGGGGTTGACAGATTATAGGGCTCAGCCTTGAGCGTTAAAGCTTGTAGGAAGTGGGGTTTCAGACATTAGGGTTCAAGATTATAGGTTCATAGGGTTTAGGCAACCAGTGCCCATTCATGGGTCACGCAGCTCCAGATATTGTCTAGGGCCCGGGGTATGGGTCATCATGCCCTTGCAAAAACACGCACAGAGACAAACAGATGGCAACAAAGGAACACGTGTAGTGTCGAAACAGTTAAGTTGGCGAAGCCCGCATTTCCATCTTCTTTTACAACAGGCTACTCCGTGGCAGTTTACGATAGATACAATAGCTGCAAAAAGCATGCTGCGCACCATCTTGTGTTGCACATTAACTTCTACATCTTCCTGATTTTGTTTGTTCTCGCTCTCTCTCTCGCTATCTCTCTCTTTCTTTCGCCAGGGCTGGGGCGGGGGTTGCCCCCCACCGCGCGCGTTAAGCGCCCCCGACCGTTGCGGTGGGGCATGAGAGAAGACAAAACACCACCAAGGCATTGACGCCTGTAGACCCAAGTCTTAGGCAAAAAGGGAAGTCTCTCTCTCTCTCCCCGTCCCTCCCATCCTCCTGTATGTACGATGCATAGCCAGGCAGCTCGAAACGCGTAACCGGCCAAGCGGCGAGGATGTGCATGTCGGCCACCCACTTGTTGCCGTCGTGGCCGCCGTGAACCACGAGCCGAGAGTCCACGACAGCCTTATTCATCCCTAGGACGTGAACTTGTGACTTGTCACTATTAGTCTGCTAGTACGAACGCTGTGCTCTTCTGTGGCAGGCATCTTGCAGTTTGTGTCTGCTGCAACTCGCATGTGCGGTCAGTCGTCAGCTCGCCACGCAGGCAAAAGAACGAAGGCTTAGGGTAGAATCTGATTATTGGGAAGGATAACAATATCAGGGTCGCAGGCAGGTCACAACAACAACGACAACAACAACAACAACAACCACGACCACGACGACCACGACGACGACGACGACGACGACGACGACGACGACGACCACGACGACCACGACGACCACAACAACAACAACAACTACTGCTACTGCTACTGCTACTTGTTCTACTTCTACTACTACTACTACTACTACGACGACGACGACGCTCTGTAGCAGACTGTAGAAGTTTGGGGGTTGCTTTAACGACTACTTTAAGGGTTTTAGGGGTTGAAGGTTTTCTTTTAAGGGTTAGTGACTAAAAACGATTTGCCGGATTGCAGCTGCCAACCTTAAACCCTAAACCCCTAAACCCTAAACCCCTAAACCCCTAAACCCTAAACCCCTAAAACCCTAAACCGCCAGTTGGCGTTTTTGTTTGGCATTGTCCAGCTGAGGAGTCTCCGGGGATCTTGGAGGAGATCAGGGTGCTCAAATCAACGTTTAGGGTTTAGGGTTTTTAGGGTGTTTTAGGGTTTTTTGGGGTTTAGGATGTTTTTTAGGGTTTTTAGGGTTTTTTGGGGTTTAGGATTTTGTTTAGGGTTTTTAGGGTTTTTAGGGATTATGGGGTTTTTTAGGGCTTATAGGGTTTTAGGGTTTAGGGCCACTTCTGAGAACCACAGCTTCAAGAATCCAAAGAAACGATCCCAAACATGCAAACTGAGTGTCTACATTGAACCACAGATGCTGCAGACACCAAACGCCGTGCTGTCACGCCCCACTTTATTCCTATCAGAACCCGCAGAACCCTCAACCCGGAAGCCTTTAGAACCCGAACCTTAAACCCTCTAAACCTTCAACCCTAAATCTGGCTGTACCTGTCCTAATTCTCCATCCCTCGACTCCAAACTCTCGGCCTTAGCTGGGAGTCTTCATAGACTGGGCGCCCGTATGGTAAGGATCGTATTGTTTAGGGTTCTAGATTTGAGGACCCAATGTTCTGTCACTCCTCGGTGCCCTGAAGGTTTAGAATAGGGGTTGGGGTTGTATTCGCCCAACTAGAAATGTATTACGGAGCCACTTGCCATTTAATTCAGGCTTCTTTACCTTCCACCCTTTAACGAGCTTTGCTTGCGTGGCCGGTGGCCGTGGTGTGGTTGTTCCTGGCGGACGGCGCACTCCCCGACGGCAGCACCTGCTATCAGTGAGGCTCCAAGACTTCAAAAATCATAAAAATCCAGGCCTCCCGATCAACCCTAAGACCTTACCTTTGGGGGAAAAAGAAACCACCTGACATAAGGCGTCCTGGCTATTGTGAGCTTTGTCGGGCAAGTGCTGGGAGTCGGCTTGCAGGGTGCAGGCGCGAGAGGTCCAGGGAAGCTATAATGAATCATGTTCGACATGATACGTAGTGCCTGCATGAATGTGTACCTACATATATACATATATACAGAGAGATAGACGGAAAGACAGCGCCGCCATCGACAGAGAGAGAGAGAGAGACAGATGTGTATGTATGTAAATGTGTGTGTATATATATATATAACAAATGTACATACACCACAAGTTTATGATCAACATATACATACATGGATATAACCGGTAAATACATATGCATGTGTATATACATATACCTTCATACATATCACTATATCCTATCGCCGCTCTTGTTTGAAGACCCAAAACCAGTCGAAGTACCGTGAGACTTCGGCCATCAATGCTTTTTGCAGCCCTTCGAGAAACCTGTCTTACTCTTAAAGTTTTGAAGTCACTTTTCAAAACCGGCACAAACAGTGCGTTTCTTAATAGACGCGGTAGTAATTAAACCTATCGAAAACAAGGCATGAAGCATAAAGAACTCAGCATGAAACCAGAAGTCCTAAACCCAACAAGCCTAACGCCCTAAACCTCTTAACCTTAACAACACCCCACTAACCCTACAACCCTGTAGTACCCCTACTAAATCCCTTAAAGGCACCCTAAACCCTACAACCCTGAATTAAATATCTTCATCACCATCATCGATGTATCGGCCGTCGGTCATGTCCAAGGTCTAAAGTCTGGGTTTCGGGCTTGGGGTTTAGGGTTTGGGGTTTCGGGTTTTAGGGCTTGGGGTTTAGGGTTTTAGGGTTTGGGGTTTAGGGTTTGGGGGTTCAGGATTCCTCGTATTAAGGCCTCTTGTTGTGGGAGTACCCCACCTAGATTCGTAGCATTTGAGGGCTTTGGTTTTCCTTCGGTTTTGGCCCTTCAGGGTTTTGGCTTTTTGAGTCTGGGGTGGGCTTACGAGGGAAGATAACATGAAACACAACCTTGCTGGCATACTGGGCATGATCTGCGTGATGTGTGGCGACGAACACTTGAACAAAATCCGCAGCTTCAGCTTCATGTCTTCACTCATAACCCTAAACCCTATAATGCCTGAAGCCTTCACCCCTAAACCCTGCTAAGAAGCCTATTGTACCCTGACAATATGCCTTAACGGAACCGTTAAAGGAAGGGCCTCCGACCAGGTACCAGATGCCACATCGAGCACGTGGAGATCGTTGAGAGCGCGCTTGCCGTTCCAGCCGCCAAAGAGGTAGAGGCCTGTGTAGGGTTAAGGGTTTAGGGGTATCCGCCTTAGTATGTAGTTAAAATAGAGGCTTGGGATATTTTGCGCGATTTAGGACTGTAACTAAGAGCACTCCTAAGTCTTCCCTAAGCATTCCGAGCCCAATATTACATTGACGGACATCCGTCGCTAAGAAAAGCGAGTCTAGCGAACCTGTGGCTCTACAAATTCCAGCCCCAACTAATATTATCGGAGCATTCATTCTGCAAAGCTTCACATTCCCGGTTTTTGTTCGGGGGCTTGGGGAATTAGCCTTTAGGCTTGAAGATTTGAGGCATTCGGGCTTAAAGATTGAGGGTTCGAGGACTACTCCGAGCCTTCGCGGGGCTGAGGCCTTTGGGTGATATAGGGGCCGTGACGATGAACCCGACCTCCAGAGGACTACTTGGGGGTGAGGGGTTCGACCCTGAAGACCAAGAAAAGCTGAGGGGGCGGCGGCCATCAATGATGTCGCCTGAGATGTGTGCGATGCCGAGATGTGGGGCTATCTTTGGGGGCGAAGGGTGGGTCTTGTTTAAGCCAGCAGCCAGCACTTGACACTTCTTGTTCCCCGCGTGCCCACGAAGGCATAGGGCTTCGGGCGGCTTGGGTTTTGTTCGGGATCGACAGAGTACTGGATGCTACAAAAGCACAACCATGTCCAGGCAAACAGGTGTGGCCAGGCAGCTGTGAACGCCATACCCTGGAACCCTTCACCCGGAATTCATCATTCCCACCTAGATCCTCTCCAATCCCCCTGCTCCCCTGCCTGAGTCTACATCCTTGTCTACTGCATAATCACCCGCGCTTGCATGCCTCTATCTATGCCGGCTTAGCAGGTGAATCGAAGCCAACTTGAATCGAAGCCAACGGAACGCGTCTAGGTCCTGCCGCACTGGGCAGGGAAACCCATAGTATAGGGGACTGCTTACCATTAAAATAGGGTATTTTGGGGGCATATAATTCTACACCCTAAACCCTAACCCTAGGCCCTGAGCCCTATATGCCGTACTATAATCCGATGGGATCCAAAACCCATAGGCCCTCTCCAGCCTCTTTTTTTCGAAGATCATTCCGAAGATCCCCTAAACACCTAAACTCTGAACCCCCTGAAGCCTGAACCCCTAACACCTTAAACCCCCCAAAACCAAGAATAGCCCGCATCTTCGAAGTTTCGGAAGAGCAGCATGAGTGCGCCGCCCGGGGCCCTGGACAATTCTGTGTCTGAAGCTCGGACCTCCACAGCAGAGCAGTCAGAGCTCTCTCCGGCTTGGATTCTTGTACAAGTTACTTTTGGGGTTACATTCTTAGGGTTACAAAAACATGAGGGTTAACTGTAGGGGGTTCTATGATGTCGGGTTCCCTGTAAATCTGAACGTTTCAGATACCTGGGGGTTTCGACAACTGGAGCTAGCTTTCGCTCGGGCAAGCTTCTCCCTCCCGATCTTCGGGATGCGAGTTGTAGCACCGGCAAGAACGACAAGAGCATAATCTCGAAACCCTAGACACTGAACTCTCAAACCTCAACCTTAAACCCTGAACCTCATAATTCCGGGTCCTTCTTGCCCTACACAATTTCTAACCGCAAGCCGGTCGAGTCCCGGGCCAAAACGTGTACATGTGCGGGCTCAGGGCGCGCCTCAGCCAGTAGTGGGTTGGTGGGTATGGGGTAACCCACAGCGTGCAACCCTTAAACCTCTAACCCTGAAGCCCCGAACCCTGGATGCTAAAGTTCAGGATGAAGGCTGTGGAGTTGAGCATTCAGGTTGCGAGGTCTGGTGGTTTCTGTATGCTATCCAGGCAAGAGACCTGAAGACCCCTAGATCACGACAGGTGATGCTGACATCCACAGTGCTCACCCCAGCCCCGAAATGCAAGCATACTCGCAGGAGATCAAACACAAGGAGGCCTCATGATAACGCAACACAGCACCTGTCAAACAAAGCATCCTGCGAACCCCGAACGCCAAGGATCAGCGTCCAGGGTCCTAGGAAAATTCTCTAGGGTCTGGTTTAGTAGTGGGCATGGGAGTAGTGTGTGGCATTAGAGAGGCGTATGGGTTCCGTGGTTTACAGTAGACTTGTAGGATTTAGGGTCTTTCTTCGATCCGCTTGATGGATCGGACGATTTGGGAGTTTCAGAAACTGAGGTACCCGTCTACAGCCCTGGAGAT